AAATTAGAAATGAACAACAAAAGCACACCCAAACATACTCACACTTATGAAATAAAAGCTGAAATTATATAAAATTTAGGAAATAATGGGAACATTACCTCTGTGATAGTCTGATATAGCAAATGATAAAATGATTCTCAGAGGAAATTTTATGGTCATAACTACATTCACTACAAACCAAAAAAGATGGAGAGTAAGTGAACGAAGTAGTCAATTCAAAAAGCTAAAAAAAAGTACAACAGAATATATCAGGTAACTTTTTAAAATGTAAAATATAAAATTAAATTAAAAAATTGATTTTTTTCAAAGAAAGTTGGTCTTTTTGAAGAAAAATATTCAAAATTATGAATGCGAAAGGGACTATAGGATTATTATTTTCAAAGCATGTTTTCACTGAGTCAAGAACGCCTACTTAAGTAACTGACAAGAACACCATAAAAGGAAACACTGACAGATTAGATTAGACCCTACCAGGAAAAAAAAGAGTTAAAATGCTTGATAAATAAAAGACCCCAGCCGGGCGCGGTGGCTCAAGCCTGTAATCCCAGCACTTTGGGAGGCCGAGGTGGGTGGATCACAAGGTCAAGAGATCGAGACCATCCTGGTCAACATGGTGAAACCCCGTCTCTACTTAAAAATACAAAAAACTAGCTGGGCGTGGTGGCACGTGCCTGTAATCCCAGCTACTTAGGAGGCTGAGGCAGGAGAATTGCCTGAACCCAGGAGGCGGAGGTTGCAGTGAGCCGAGATCGCGCCATTGCACTCCAGCCTGGGTAACAAGAGCGAAACTCCGTCTCAAAAAATAAACAAATAAATAAATAAATAAATAAATAAAAGACCCCATAAACAAAAACAACAAATAAGTGAACGTGCAGAAAGTATTCATTACATATATAAGGACTAAAAGCTATAATTGTCAAAAGCTGCTTTAAGAAGAGAATCACATACACAATCAATTTTATTTATTTATTTAGAGACAGAGCCCCACTCTGTCACCCAGGCTGGAGTGCAGTGGCACCATCTCAGCTCACTGCAACCTCCGCCTCTGGGGTTCAAGCAATTCTCCTGCCTCAGCCTCCTGAATAGCTGGGACCGCATGCGCACACCACCACAACCTGGCTAATTTTTGTATTTTCAGTAGAGATGAGGTCTCTGGTCTCAAATGATCTGCCCTCCCAAAGTGCTATCCCCAAATTTGTAAACACAGAAAAGCTATACAAAGTTAATTCTCAGAGAAAGGATGGTAATAAACATTTGGAAGAATGCTCAAGCATACTAGCAATCAGGAAAAGTTTAGAGCGTAAGTTACCATTTTACCCCGTCAGATTCAGCTTAGAGACAGGGTCTTTCTTGCTCTGCCACCCAAGCTGGAGTGCAGTGGCACAATCAGAGCTCACTGCATCCTCAAGCTCTGGGCTCAGGTGATGCTCCCTCTTGCCTCAGCCATCCCCAAACCACCCCCAAAAACTGGGATTACAGGCACGTGCCACTGAGCCCTGCTAATTCTTTTTTGACAGAGATTGGGGGTGAGGTGTCTCACTTTTTTGCCTAGGCTGGTCTCAAGCTCCTGGCCTCAAGAGATCCTCTTGCCTTGGCCTCTCAAATTGTAAGAGGATTACAGGCGTAAGCCATCATGCCCACCCTCCCCCAAATTAAAAAATGTGAATATATGCGGCATTGAAAAGATGAGGAAAAAGATAACTCTCACATACAGTTGACGGGGGACTGTAGATTGACAGTATTTTTGGGAGGACAAATTAGCAGTATGTATTACATTTTAAATTCTGTAATTAATACCCCTTTAAATCAGTTATTCCACTTCCAGATATTTACCCTACGGAAATACTTGAACATGTACAGATACATTATGCATGCATAAAGATGCTTACTGAAGCACTTTTGGGGGATTAACAAACAATGGAAACTTTCAGAAACATCAATCAAAGAAAATAGTGAAAGGATTACTAAGCAGTCATTAAAACAAATGACTAAATTTGTGGTACATACATCAAAAAAATTCCCAGATACAGGGCAAAAAGTCAATTACTAAATGCAAATGATGTAGTGCAGTGTGGTTTTAGCTCTGTGTCACATACAGGCACGTATATACATAGGCACGGAGGCAAGTGCGACACACAGCCTTGCATTTTCTACCTATTATATTCCCATGTTGTTTTAAGGAAGGTAAAATATATGTATACATGTATCACATACAGGCACATGTACACACGGGTGCAGTGTGATTTAGCTCTGTGTCACATACAGGTACGTGAACACATGGATGGATGGGATAGATGGATAGATGGATGGATGGGATGGATGGATGGATGGATGGGATGGATGGATGGATGGGATGGATGGATGGATGGATGGATGGACGGGATGGATGGAGGGAATGGGATGGATGGGTAGACACGTGGCTCACACCTGTAATTTCCCAGCACTTTGGGAGGCCAAGGTGGGTGGATCACCTGAGGTTGGGAGTTTGAAACTAGCCTGGCCAACAGGGAGAAACCCCCCTCTACTAAAAATAGAAAATTAGCCAGGCATGGTGGTGCCTGCTTGTAATCCAAGCTACTCGGGAGGCTGAGGCAGGAAAATCGCTTGAACCTGGGAGGCAGAGGTTGCGGTCAGCCAATCACACCATTGCACTCCAGCCTGGGCAACAAGAGTGAAACTCTGTCTAAAAAAAAAAAAAGAAAGAAAGAAAGAAAAGAAAAGAAATAAGAAAAAGCCAGGCTCCATAGTTCATGTCTGTAATCTCATCACTTTGGGAGGGTGAGACAGGAGGATCACTTCAGTCCAGGAGTTCGAGACCAGCCTGGGCAACATAGTGAGTATCACCCCCCTCACCCTCAACGTCTCTACAAATAATACTTTTTAAGAAGAAGAAAAAAGAAGAGTTTCAAAAGAGACATCAAACTGTTAGTAATATATTCTTTAAAAAGGAGAGAAAGAAGTCATTTTTACTTTCCATCCTATAACTGTTAAAACAATTAAAAATGGAAGTATTACGTAATTTTGTGAAAATAAAAATTTTTAAATATGCCAGGCGCAATGACTCAGGCCTGTAATCACACGACTTTGGAAGTCTGAATCGGGAGGATCACCTGAGGTCGGGAGTTTGAGGCCAGCCTGGCCAACATGGAGAGACCCCGTCTCTACAAAAAATTACCAGGGTGTGGTAGCACGTGCCTGTAATCCCAGCTGAAGCAGGCGAATCACTTGAACCTGGGAGGCAGAGGTTGCAGGGAGCTGAGATCACACCACTGCAGTCCACTCTGGGCAACGAAGTGAGACTCTGTCTCAAAAAATAAAATAAAATAATCATCCATATGAAAATACTCAAAGACAAATGAAATGGACCCCTACAGTGTTTACTCTGGCAATTTTTCAAAGTCACAATAAAACGTGAAATAGGATGACTCAGTGGTGTTTCACCTGGTACTTTTCCAGTTTTCCTTCCTTTTACAACATAATCAGCAATGACTTCAAAAGAATTCCTTACTCCTTCATGGAATATACTACCTTAAACACTACCTTTCAGACCTAGAGTTCAAAGCATAGTTCAAAGCTCAGCCGAGAATCCAGAAATGGCAGGGTATCACCAGCAGGGTGACTTTTTTCTTTTCCCTAGCAAACAGTGGAGCAGTATGTAGATTCTAACTCCCATTTCAAAAAAACCAACAAAAAACCTCACTTTAAAAACAGTAACTCTGACACATAAATACATATCATACACTGTGTATTTTACTGGCATTGCAGAAAGGTATTAAATGGGCATGAAAGTCAGGTCATTACGGATTTAAAACGCCGCCCAAGGAACGGTACCAACACGAATTCCACATCGTTAACATGGAGTGCTGCGTGCCAGCGAGTAGCAAAATTCAGAGCAGCATGACTTTGCACAACGACACACTCCACGAGCCCGGTCTCCCAGGAGTGCCCTTCGAAATACACGCAGCCTAAACGTGACATGTAAAAGTACAGACACAAAGGAGGCCTCAGGTCGAAGGGGAAAAACTAAACACTACAAAGAACGGCATGATTTGGACGGCTGGACAACGGGCTCGACCTTGCACGCGCGCGCTCTGGACCGGGCTCGCCAGCTCGCTCTGCCGCAGTCGCAGGGAGGAGGGGGACGGGGGCCGCCGCTGCGCCTCGGCAACGCTCGCCGCGGAGCCGTTTTTTGGAACGCCGGAAGCCCGCGCGCCCTGCGCGCCCTCCGCGCGGACACCCCCGTCCTGACGCACGCACAGGAGCGAGCCGCTCCCTCCATTTTGTCCCCAGTCTCCTTCAGGCGAACTGCGCGCTGCTATTTTAAAGCCACTTAGTAATGGAACCGTAACAGGGAGGAAGCGGGGTGGGCGTGGGAGCCCCGCTTGCACGAGGCAGGCACTGGGGCGGAGGGGGGCCGCCTGGGCACCACGGGCTCGTCCGGTGGCTGGAAGGACAAAGGACACTTAGGGGACGAGGGCCGCCGAGCCGGCGCGGAGCGACTTCCGGGTCGGGGCCGGGCTGGGGCCGGGGCCGGGCCGACCCCCGCGGCGGGGGCCACCCCCCGGGACAAAGCAGCGGCGCCGCGCCCGCTCCCTCCGCCGCGGCCCCACCCCTCGGCGCGCGCCCGGCGCTCGTGCACGCGAGCGCGCGCGCGCCGGAGACGGTTAAAAAATGGCGGTTGGGGCGGAGGGGGAGGGGCGGTTGGGGCGGCGGGGGCGGGAAGTGGAGCGGTCTGGCTCGGTTCCGCCCCGCCCTGCCAGGAATCAGGGAGCCGGTTTGTTTCCCGAACCCTTCTCCTTCTGCGCCCCCGGCCCTGCTGGCTGCGTGCCGGACCGGGAGGAAAGTGTGACCCGTTCGATGGAACAAAGGACCTGGCGGCCTAGGCGCCGGCGCGCGGCGGCCACTGCGGAGCATCGGGAACGTTCGCTAAGATGGCGGCCGTCGCGTGGGGGCGGGGCGGGGCGGGCGGCGGCGCGCAGGCGCGGGGCGGGGAGGGGCGCGGCGGGCCGGCCTGCAGCTCCGGGGGCCCGGGCCGCGCAGGGCTGGCGGAGGCGCGGAGCCGTCCCCATGGCCGCGGTGCCGGAGCCCGACGAGCCCGCGAAGCGGAAGGTAACGCAGCGGCCGGCGGGGCGCGCGCCGCGGGTGGGAGGACGCGGTGGGCGGGGGTGAGGGCGGCCTCCGCGGGGCGCCGGGGCCCGCAGCACGTGTCACCGGCTTCTCTGCCGCCCTTGGGCTTCCAACTATTTTCACTGTTCCTAGTCCCATTAATAGGACATTTTGATCTAAGTCGCCGGACGAAAGTGACCAGCACTAGCGGGAGAAGGGGACCAGTAGTAGTCACTATGAAATAAGCTAACAAAGCGGAATCTTCTGGCGAGAAATTTTTTTTGCTAAGGGCACTGCACGTAATTTGCTAGTAAAAGCTAACAGCAGAGACTAAAAAGCTCCCTGAGGACAGGGTGCCTTGTCTTTAACGTTGTATTGGTCACATTTAACGTAGAGGGAGGCAGGGATGACTTGATTGTACTACGTTGAATTGAAGGGTTGAGGTTTCTCCCCAGTCACCAGTGGCCTCCCTAGCTGCTGTCCGTCTCGATGCCGTCTCCTCAGTCTACCTTCCGTTATTGTCCGCTCGTCCTTTCCAACCGGTAAACTGGACAGTTTCATCCCTCTGCCTAACATCCAGTTCCAGCAGCCCATCCTCTCTCTCTAAGGATAAAACCCAAATTCTTGTTATAGGAAAGCTAAACGAAACGCTCTTCCTCCTGTTCCTCCAAAGACGACTTAAGTGCTTTCCCCATCTTCCCAGGGATCTTGAATGTCGTTAGGTTCAGCATATTAGAAGGTAATAAATGATCTTGTCTTTGTCTTTGCCTGGGCTCCTTATTAAAAGCAGGGAACCCAATTTATATCCTCAGGGCAGAACAGGTGGTTCAGGAAAGGATAATGCAAGAGGAAAAAAAGTATTTTAGTATAAATTATGGGATGTAACATTGGCTAATCATGAGCAGACATTTATTGAAGACCCACTGTGTGCTAAATGGCTCCTAATATATGCTTTCCAGATAATGATACATACTTTTAAAATACACTCTCAGCTTGGAAATCTTGCTCACTGCTTGCTCTGGCTTGCTTATCTGGTGGGGTTCCATCTAAATTTGGCCAAGGCGTAAGATCATATAGTTGATATTAACAAATACTGTATAAATTGTTTTCATAATTTAACGTCAAAAAGTTTTGTCAAGTGACATACTATTACTGGTGCCTCATCTGTTTTTACTGTCCCGTCCACTGCCCATTTCGAATAAGTTTAGTGTTTTTTTAAAAAAAGCTCCTTATGGCCGGGTGCAGTGGTAGCTTCTGCCTGTTGGGAAGCCAAGGCGGGGTGGATCACCTGAGGTTGGGAGTTCGAGACCAACCTGACCAACATGGAGAAACCCTGTCTCTTACTTAACAAAACAATTAGCCGAGCATGGTGGCACATGCCTGTAATCCCAGCTACTTGGGAGGCCGAGGCAAGAGAATTGCTTGAACCAGGGAGGTGGAGGTTGTGGTGAGCTGAGATCGAGCCTGGGCAGCAAAAGCAAAACTCCATCTCAAAAAAAAAAAAAAAAAAAAAAAAAATCCTTGTTTGAAACTTTCTAGTTCATGATGTACCATAACTACACAGTCAATCCTAGATTCAGCTTTGGATAACACTGGAATCTGGAATTTTTGGACAGGAGATAAGGTCATAAAGGTGGTTTAATCCATTGGAAATATTTTTAAAAGAACTAAATGGAAAAAAATATCATTGACCAATTTAACTGGCTCATCAGTACACAGCAAAACAATATTGTAGTTGTTGAAATGAAAAATAATTATGGCCGGGCGCGGTGGCTCAAGCCTGTAATCCCAGCACTTTGGGAGGCCAAGGTGGGTGGATCATGAGGTCAAGAGATCGAGACCATCCCGGGCAACATGGTGAAACCCCGTCTCTACTAAAAATACAAAAAATTAGCTGGGAATGGTGGTGCGTGCCTGTGATCCCAGCTGTTAGATCTTGATTTTATTCATAAAAATGTGTATCAGATGACTATAATAAACACGCCGTGGCTTTCAATTATGCTTAGATTCTTTGTGGTTTTTTTTGAGCTGAAGTCTCACTCTGTCACCAGGCTGGAGTGCAGTGGCTGAGGCAGGAGAATTGCCTGAACTAAGGAGGTGGAGGTTGCGGTGAGCCGAGATTACGCCATTGCACTCCAGCCTGGGTAACAAGAGTGAAACTCCGTCTCAAAAAAAAAAAAAGAAAAGAAAAATAATTATAAGCCTCAAAACAGCATAGATGTGGGAAGTCAAAAGAAATTGCTCATGAAACAGCAGTACCTATCAGAGCTCATCAAAAAGCTAATTAAATTAATATAAGCTATGACTAATTAACAGCCCAAGGTAATGGCGGAAAGGAAACCTGTGGTGATGTTTTAAAAAAGAATTTTGGGCCGGGTGCAGTGGTTCATGCCTGTAATCCAAGGCACTTTGGGAGGCCAAAGTGGGCAGATCACAAGGTCAAGAGATGGAGACCATCCTGGCCAACATGGTGAAACCCCATCTCTACTAAAAATACAAAAATTAGCGGGCGTGATGGCACATGCCTATAGCCCCAGCTACGCGGGAAGCTGAGGCAGAAGAATCACTTGAACCCTGAAGGCAGAGGTTGCAGTGAGCCGAGATCTCCCCATTGCACTGCAGCTTGGGTGTCAGAGGGAGACTCCATCTCAAAAAAAAAAAAAAAATTGTCAGTGATCATTCCAGCACAACTCAGGGAGGAGGGTTATTTTATTATAAGAATTAGTGGCCGGGCGCTGTGGTTCAAGCCTGTAATCCCAGCACTTTGGGAGGCCGAGGCGGGTGGATCACGAAGTCAAGAGATTGAGACCATCCTGGTCAACATGGTGAAACCCCATCTCTACTAAAAATACAAAAAAAAAGTAGCTGGGCATGGTGGCACATGCCTGTAATCCCAGCTACTCAGGAGGCTGAGGCAGGAGAATTGCCTGAACCCAGGAGGCGGAGGTTGCGGTGAGCCGAGATCACGCCATTGCACTCCAGCCTGGGTAACAAGAGCGAAACTCTGTCTCAAAAAAAAAAAAAGAATTAGTAACCCTAAAGTAAAAATGCGAATTACCAAGCTGGCATACCTTAATAAAACTAGCCCCTGAAAACCATCCTTTGCCACTTTCTTGTCCTCTAAGAAACTTTTTAAAATGTGAAATTTGGTACATACAGGTAAATTCACATTCAGGTAAATTCTTAATTTCACCTATTCAAAAAATATTTACAGAGTATCTACTGAGTATTAGGCCCTAAACTGGGAACTAGACTGATCAAGACAGGAAAAATCCCTTTTAAGGAGCTGACATTCTGCTGGGGAATCAATAAGCAAGACTTGTTTAGTGAGCCAACCATGCCAAGATCCAGGAGAAAGACGGCATGTGTTCAGTAATAACCATCTCTGCTTGCTAGAGGCCACTTGCATAGCCACTGTGCCTGGACTAGTGGACTAGAGTGGGAGCTGAAAAAGCACAGGATCACGTGGGGCCTTTGGAGCAATGGTAAGAATCAGCATGCCAAGCAAGGTGGCTCACACCTGTAATCCCAACACAGGGAGGCTGAGGCGGGTGGACCACAAGGTCAGGAGATCAAGACCATCCTGGCCAACCTGGTGCAACCCCATCTCTGCTAAAAATACAAAAATTAGCTGTATGTGGTGGTGCATACCTGTAATCCCAGCTACTTGGGAAGCTGAGGCATGAGAATCACTTGAACCCAGGAGGCACAGGTTGCAGTGAGCCAAGATCGCACCACTGCACTCCAGCCTGGTGACAGAGTGAGACTTCAGCTCAAAAAAAACCACAAAGAATCTAAGCATAATTGAAAGCCCGGCGTGTTTATTATAGTCATCTGATACACATTTTTATGAATAAAATCAAGATCTAACAGGTACTATTGATAGACAGTGATTTGATAGTACAGGTTGAGCTTCCCAAATCAAAAACAAAGGCATTTTCTTTTGGTGTCATATCAGTGCTCAAAAAACTGTAGATTTTGGAGCATTTCGGATTTGGAATGCTCAACATGTATTGGCAATGAAGTTGGTGGGCAGTGGTTTGGTTCAGGATGTATTTTGAATGCAATCCTTCCAGACTTGCTAATGTATTGAACATGGATTTGGTGAAGGAATCAAGGATGACTCAGGTTTGGGGTCTAAAAATGGGTTGAGTAGCGTGCCATTAGCAGGCAGGTTTGGAGGTGAAAATTATTTTGCAAATACTAGGTACAAGGCGCTTTTTATACAGAAAAGTGTGGTTCCGTTCTTGCTTCGGTAGCACATATACTAAAATTGGAATGACACAGATGATTAGCATGGCCCTTGTGCAAGGATGACACTATTAAAAAAAAAAAAAAGGTGTGGTTCAATAAGCAGATGAATGAAGCTGAAGTTGGGAGAGATTAGGGTTTGATCTAGAAATCTGGAGGCATCATTTAATAGCATTTAACTGAAAGCCTTGAGATACCTAGGAAGAGACTAGATTCCACAAGAGGTTAAGAGTGGCACTTCAGAATCACTGTAAAAGACGGAACAGCAACAAAAATTCAGTGAAATAGAAAACCATGAGACGTTGTATTTGAAGCCAAGTAAAAATAGTTCCAAAAACAAATGATAGTTTGTGCCACATATGCTGAGATGCAGAGTAAGACAGACTGCAAAGTGGATGTCTTTCAGAGATCTTGTTTGTGCAGTCAGGTGGCGTTCAGTGGACAGATGCCTCACTAAAGCGAGTCAAAGGGAGAATGGGAGGTTTTAAGTAGAAAAGCACACCTAGTCTCAACTTTTGCTATGAAAGGCAGCAGAAAACCAGGATGGCAGTTTAGGCGGCCAGTGAGGGGAGACAGGTGTACAGAGGGATTGTGTTTGTGAGATGGAGCGGGTGCCCAGGCTGGAGTGCAGTGGTGCGGTCCCTGCTCACTGCAGCCTCCACTTCCTAGTCTCAAGTGATTCTGCCTTAGCCTCCCAAGTAGCTGGCATTACAGGCATATGCCACCATTCCTGGCTAATTTTTGTACTTTACTATATTAGTAGAGACAGGATTTTGCCATGTTGGCCAGGCTGGTCTTGAACTCCTGACCTCAAGTGATCCACCCGCCTCAGCCTTCCAAAAATGCTGGGATTATAGGCATAAGCCAACACGCCCGGCCCTCACCTGTTTAACCTCCTAACTGGTCTTCCTGCCTGTGCTCCCTTCAAGTTTTGGATAGGGAGTAGGGCCAATTCATCCTTTGCAACCAGAGCAAAGGCAAATACAGGCACTGAAGCAGATTGAGTGGTGGAAGATCAACTGGCTATCATTTGATGAGATCTGTTTCTATCCATTATCGACATTCTGGCTTGAAAATGTCTTGAGCTTTCCTTAGATCCAAAGTGAGTTGGTAAAGCTGCTTTTCTAAATCTAAGCTTTAAAAATATCTATTTGTTAGTGGCCAGAGTTAAACCTTAAGTTTGCAGGCTACTTAAGGGATAGAAATGTTAAAGGCATGCATATTATGGACAGAGTATTTCTGTATATAAACAGAGTACTTCAAAGGAAGTTATGCCTGGGATCCTTTATTCATCATCTCCACTTCTGAGCATCTGACAGCACAGTGTACTTAACCACAAAGATAAACACGCTCCAAGTCACTAGTAGTCTCACCTCCAACTCCACCAGGAGGCTGAAGATTGTCTATCAAAGGGAAGATTGCCATCTTAAGTCTTCGTATATTCTTGCCCAGTTTTGATAAAAAATTGCATGTATTTACTGACTTAGTAGTATTCCTCCTTAGATGTGTTACAACTGGAAAGCTCCCCCAAAACCCTCCACACTCCAGACTTGGTTATTTCTTAATGATGTGGTTTGGCACAATGGATCTCATAGGTTTTTGGGGTCAAACTGACTTTTCTGCCTCCACTCCTGCCAACACTTATTAGCGTCTTAAGTGTTTCAGAGGTAATCTGACAGAGGCTGGAAAATCACAAAACATGTAGAGAGCCTGGCACGAAAGCCCCCACCAACCAGGAGCTCTTATGAGATCAACCACTGTTATTCTAGACCAGATAGTTTTGCTGGAGGTTGGCTTTGTCTTAGAAGGCACAATTTTAAATAGGATGTTGTAGCTTTTATTTAGATATTTGCCTTTAAAGCCAGCTGAGATATTCTCCTATTGTTTGCAAGTTTGCTTTTGTTAAAATTAAAATTTTCTAAATCAGTGTTTCCCCAGTCTGATAGTTATCAGAAAAAAAACATCCCATGGTCCATCATGGATCTGATCAGAATCTCAGAGTAGGACTAGAAAATACTTCAGTTCTAGGCTAGGCGCAGTGGCTCACACCTGTAATCCCAGCACTTTGGGAGGCCGAGGCAGGTGATCACGAGGTCAAGAGATCAAGACCAAGATAGTGAAACCCTGACTCTGGTGCGCACCTGTAGTCCCAGCTACTCGGGAGGCTAAGGCAGGAGAATTATTGCTTGAACCGGGAAGTGGAGACTATAGAACTTTCAAAAAAAAGAAAAGAAAATACTTCTTTCTACTCTGTGGTAGAATCTGATCTCACACTTGCATCTTTGCACCTAAGACCAGATAAAACTGGTACTAACTAACCCTCTGGCCCTAGCATCCAATCCTTGGGCAAATAGTTTAGAGCTATAGCCCTAGATTGGGGCGCAAAGTCCAGCATTACCCATCTGCGTAACACTGTCTCCATGATCATGTGTTCCCTGCACTTTCAGGCCGATAGGAGAAAGTCTTTTTGCTCAATGAAATCCCCCAACCTCTTGGTAATGTGGAGAACTGTACGAAGAAGCTTTGAAGCAATCCTGTGTTAGGCATGCAGGGAGCCAGATAGGGAGAGGGGAAAAGAAAAAAAAATGACATAGAATGATCCGAGAGAGCAAATAATTTTTACTTTATTATGAACCAAATCACATTTTTTTCTTCCAGCAGATACTTCAGCCAAAGAAGCAAACACAGGCAGAAATACAATTGAGAGTATCATGTTTCAACCTTTAATCTGACTTGCCTTTTACTGTCCTTTCCCCATTTCTTTTCTGGGTATCACCTCATCCTACAGAATCCTCTTCTTATTTCATGTCCTGCCCCAAACAATACTATTAAACCTTTAAATGGTCAGTGGTCCTTTTAAAAGCTGTCTTACTGAAAACTTTATATACACTTTAGAAAACAGTTACGAATTTTCTAAACTTCTGTGTTAACAGAAATGCCAGTTCAACAGTGTGACTGTTACTTTTAAATGTCTGTCTCGCCGCCCTAAAGTGACAGACATCTCAGTTAAACATACGGGGAAAAGAAATACATAAATCCAACCAAGACTGTAGAAAAAGAAGTCGTTTTAGCACTTAAAGGAACTTCAATCTAAACCAGCCCGTTCATTTTACAGATTGAGACCATGGAGATTAAAATAATCTATAGAATACAAAAGTTAGTGGCAGACCCGAGACAAAAATCCAGCTCTCTGGATTCCCAGGTTTTCTGCCATACCTAGCTGTCACATTACCATGTATTCAAAGAATCAAAATAATCAAGTGCAACCTCACTTCACAGGCAAGAAAACAGACTGGAAGAGCTGAATATATTGCCCATGTTTATCTTAACATGAAATACTTATTACAACCACAGTTGATGTCAGCCTAGTTAATATTAGTAAAACCTGAAAGGTAATTATTAGGGAAATTTTAAACAGCACTACATAAGCAAACACGAATTATTTTCCTGTTTCTGCTTCCCAAATTATTAGAGTTATTGAAGCAAACTGTGCTGCTTCCAATTTCAGTAATAGCCATATTCCTAAATAAACTCATTTAAAGAGCTCATAAAATAAAATGTTTCCTATTTCCAAGTCAAGTGGTTAGCAAATTAAGATATAGCTCAATGTTACCCTATTGCTTAGGGTTTTCTGGGCCAATTTTTAAGGTTTTCGGATTTAAAGATGCAGACTGCATACCAAAGCTGGACACACACAAAGCAAGCTGATTCAGGTTGTCACACGGTATGTTCTAGTTTAAACCCTTAACTACAACAAAAGAAATGGTGTAACTTTTGTCAAACCACCCTAAAATAAAATAACTTTCTTACTCAATCTAGGGGTTTTTTTTTTTTCTTTTCTTTTATTCTAGCCTTTTAAGCTCCTAGGAATTTTAGATATTGAAAATATTCCCTGCGCCCGGGATTCAGTACTGTATGGTTCGTTAGGATCTGTTGTGGCTGGCTTTGGACACTTTTTGTTCACTAGTGAGTATCTGTGCTTTTTTATTTCTCTATGTATTAAAAAAAGCATTTATGTGATTAGCTATTTTTTTCTAGATGGAGTAACGTATATAAATTGTAATTCTAATTGATTATGATGGTTATGCTTATTTTTGACAGGTAGAATTAGAAGATCATGTGATGTTGGAGTAGGAGGATTCATCTTGGTGACTTTGGGATGCTGGTATGTTCGCTAAGTATTCAAAAACATCCATGATTATAATGTTATCTAATTCAAAAAGCACACGCTCTTTTCAGAGCAAGCTCCCATTGGGAGATTCTCACCCGCAGTGAAGAATGAATCTTGATTTTTAAGGACATTTTCATGGAAATCTGTCTTAAAATGCTTGAACAGATAAATGCATATTAGACATCCCATTAAAAAGAAAGCTGTGGTATCTACACTTCACGTAGGAAAGCCTCAACCTTTTCCCTTACCTTAAGAATGTGTTTACAGCTATTGATGAGTGAATATAAAATGTGGATGAATCTCAAATATTTGCCAGACCTTACAGTATATATACATACAATGTGGTTCCTTTATACATGAAGTTCTAGGGTTATCTATTTAAGGTGACAGAAATCATTTTATGTAGACATAGCATACAGCAGATACAACCAATGCCATCAGAAGACAAAACTAATGGTTTTTTTTTTTTGAAGACAGAGTCTTGCTCTGTTGCCAGGCTGGAGTGCAGTGGCGCCATCTCGGCTCACTGCAATTTCCGCCTCCCAGGTTCAAGCAATTCTCCTGCCTCAGCCTCCCGAGTAACTGGGACTACAGGCGCATATCACCACGCCCAGCTAATAATAGAGGCAGGGTTTCACCATGTTGACCAGGATGGTCTTGATCTCTTGAGCTCGTGATCCACCTGCCTCGACTTCCCAAAGTGCTGGGATTACAGACATGAGCCACCGCGCCCAGCCAAACTAATTGGATCTTGGGGGCGGGCAGGCAATCCACAGAGGAGAGCCACTGCCTGTCCCCATTAAAAAAAAGAAAAAAACTAATCGATTTTTATCACTTTACAAATTGTTACGTAGATATTCTTCTGTTTCATAGGTATTCTAACACCAAAATTGCCCAAAAATAGCACTCCAAATTAGAACATTGATGTTTTTGAGTCTCAGGGTAGTCATCTGTTAAGTATTCTATATGTTTTGTGTGATTTATAGAGAAATTCCATAAATTAATTTCTGCAGGACTTTATAATTTTTTCTTATTCTTTTCTTCCAAGGTTTCATTGTAGGTATAATTATGCAAAGCAAAAAATCCAGCAAAGAATTACCAGACAAGGAATGAAAAATAAGTTATTATATGAAGGTACCCACCTCGATCCTGAAAGAAAACAAAACAACCGTAACAGCAGCAATTGAACAACCTTGAGCATAGAAAACCAGACTCCCTGGAGTCAGCGTGAATGCAGCTAAGATCAACCACACAAAACACTTCATGTACAATAAGCTCTCAATCAAGTAAAATAAAGTTTGTTTAAGTTGTAGTCATTTTCTTCCCACAGTTGTTGTATGGAATGAAAACTTGGCGATTAATTTTGGCCCTGTGTCTACTGCCAGTATAGGATTATTACATCTTACATATAGTGGTATTACATCTTACATATAGTGGACTTCTCATACTTAAAACGTGAACGGAGTCTATTGGCAGTGGGGCCAATAAAAACCTAGTGTTTAAAAAAAAAAAAAGCCCTAGCGTAGAAAGTACTTGGAAAGAGTTTCCTTGAAATAAGTTTAGAGTTTAATGATAAGTAAACTTCCCTTAACAAAAACCTCGGCCTCACTAGGATCCCATTAAAAGCAAGCAAATACTTCCTGGCTTCTTGTAGCAGCTAATGGCATTACAAGATTTAAAACTAAGGGAATTTATCACTTTGCAAATCACTCTTTAAATGCATCCATCATTTGACAAGTGTTTTCTCATTTCTTAGAATTTGAGTCTTCCCCTCAACATTTTTTGGGAGGTATGCAGGGTTAATTTTTAAGTATAATTAGTTCTGAATTTAAATAAGCACATGGAACTTGTTTGGGAGACTGATGCAATAGAAAAAGAACTGCAGAATTACTTTTTATTAATGTAAACAATCTTTGAAAGTCAATCAGCTACTCCCATTAAAATATTACTTAAAAGAATAGCAAGCTAGAGATGATTTAAATTGGATGCTCACAGCATCCAACTAAATCCTCATTATTTATTCATCCAGGAGAAATTCTCCCTTTTTAGGAAAATGCAGTTATTTCTGGTTTTAATCAGTACAGTACTTTAAGAAAATCTATTAATAACAAAACACAAGCTAGATCCTTAAGAAATGCTTACAAGAAATATGGGGAGGAAGATACCTGCAGTCAACAGGATTGTGGCCATTACTGGTCCTATTACTTTGATGTATCATGCAAGTCAGAAACAAAGCAAGGGAAAAAAATAGTATTTATATCTATCTCTTTTTCTAAAGAAAAGTGGAGCCTGCTCCAGTTCAATTCACAAGAGCATTTTCCCTCCCATGTCCATCTTTTCTTGCAGCTGTTGCTAGAAGGATTGTGACGCAGAGGCTGTGTGCTTTACTAAATGCCCTAACTTGGCAGTGAATGACACTGTCAAACACACATTGAGGGAAAAGTTTTACTGATTCACAAAAAGTAAAAGACAGTTTGCCCACTCTTAGTGGCACAAAGCAAAGTTGCATGCAGTCTACATTATCCAAATTGGTCATAACCAAGTAACAAAAAATTCTTCTGAGCGTGGTGGCTCACTCCTGTAATCCCAACACTTTGGGAGTCCGAGGCAGGTGGATCACCTGAGGTCAGGAGTTCAAGACCAGCCTGACCAATATGGGAAAACCCCTTCTAAAAATACAAAAATTTCATTTTTAGAAGGGACAGGGTTTCACCATGGTGGTGCATGCCTATAGTCCCAGCTACTTGGGAGACTGAGACACAAGAATCTCTTGAACCTGGGGGTCAGAGGTTGCAGTGAGCAGAGATCGCACCACTGCACTACAGCTTGGGTAACAGTGAGACTCCGTCTCAAAAGAAAAAAAAAATCTATATACATTCTCCCATATACTTTAAATCACCTCTAGCTTGCTTACAATGCCTACTACAAAATAAATGCTATGTAAATAGTTACTATACCATGTGTTCTGTGTTTTTTTTTGTTTTTTTTTTTTTTTTTGAGACGGAGTTTCGCTCTTGTTACCCAGGCTGGAGTGCAATGGCACGATCTCGGCTCACCGCAACCTCCGCCTCCTGGGTTCAGGCAATTCTCCTGCCTCAGCCTCCCGAGTAGCTGGGATTACAGGCACGTGCCACCATGCCCAGCTAATTTTTGTATTTTTAGTAGAGACGGGGTTTCACCATGTTGACCAGGATGGTCTCGATCTCTTGACCTCATGATCCACCCGCCTCGGCCTCCCACCTTGTGTTCTTAAACTTCTGTTAGTGTTTCCAGTATTTTCAACCCCCAGTTGGTTGAATCCAAGGATGCGGAACCAGAAGACATGGAGGGCTGACGTATAACATACGTAACGTGTACAACAGGTCCCTTCCAATGCTAGCACACTGCAATGGCGTCTTACCCTGAATAAGAGAGCAGCTCTCTTGGCTGGCAAAATTTCCAATGCCTTCACCAATAACAAGGTTAGCTCATTTTCACAGAAGTTTGCATAAACTGGAAACCTGGATAAAAACAAAGTTGTAACATATTTGGTTGGATTATAAATGTTTCAGGTATTTACATGATCACTAATAATTTTCATTCTTGTGCTATTAAGGTTTTACAAAGTGTATTAATAAATGTACTAAAGTCTGTAACACCCACCCTCAATGAGACTCAAGACAGTTCCAGTCTCTCCAATAAATTTCTACCTTACTATCCAACTTTACATCCCAACTGTATTTAGTTTCTTTGCCAAACCTTCAATGCACTGTGACCTCTATATACCATATCCATGCCAACACTCAAACTCTTCATTTCACTTGGAATGCCTTTGTACCTCCTCTCTGTAACTTTCCATTCTTTTGCTCACTAGCCTCTGAGAATTACAATCACCTTTTAAGTTCTCAGTATTTTCTGTCACCTGTTACAGTATTTGGCACTTCTCGGTCACCAGTGTCTGGTACAATCACATACAGCCTAAGTGTCTCGTTGGCAAAAACCTTGGCCATTTTTATCTTTACATTCTCACCCAAGTAGCTGGCACAAAATAGTCAATAAATGCAAGACCAAATTACCAAATGTCCACTAAAAGACAGTCCAGGTTCCCCTTCCCTTCTCATCCATACTTTCACACCTTCCAATTTCAAACTGAGTCACCTACCTTCCATGACCTCTTGGAACCTTCAGCGTACAGCTTCCTTCATTGTTCCATTAATTCCAAAATGTCACACTAGGTGATATAGCAGTAGGTACCAGCTAAATAGCTGATTAAAATAGAATTATGGTTATTAGTAGTCTTAAAAACTTCTTGTGGCTTATCTATCATACCTACTTTTACAAACGAGTGCTTCATGTACTCCCCCTTCCCTCGCCCTCCCTCTCTGGTTTTCCTTGACTACTTGTGCTTTTCCATCTCAGTAAAACGACCTCGGGAAATTTAAAATTAACTAGCTCTTCTCTGGACTTGCAACGGGAAAATGTGACGATCCCTACGTAGCATCATTTGATTTGCAGGCATCTGTTTAGTCTACGTACCTCTACTCCATCGCTGGTTTCCCTTTGCTTCGATTACATAATGCGAGGAGGTCTATATAATAAATTCAGGATTCCTGTTTATGCACTTTTCAGCAAAGAGCTAGGGATCAAATAGGGTTTGAATCCTTCTATTCCTAGATAAAAATCTGTGATGGGGATGAAGACACCCCTTTAAAAGTCATGTAAAGATAATACACTATTCTTTGGGTAAGCAGAAGACCTTAACAAGGAAAGTAGAAAATTAAAATGATTGCTGTAATTCTGGTTTTTAGTGGTCCTCTAGAATAAAGTAAGTTTTGGAAGTAGGTATCTTAAAACAGTCCAGTAGTCATCAAGCCAGGCCAATATAGTATACCAATATCCTCTACCACGCAAATACTGGCATTTTACACAACTTATTTTACACATTGTTCCATTTTTAAACATTTTTAAAATGTTTTCTTAAAAAGGAAGCCATTAGAACAAAAAAATCATGAAGCTAGTTTTCTAAGTATTAAAGTTTATGTGAGCACCACAGATGTTTTACAAGTTTTTTCAGTGCTTTCAACCATTGCATTTGTCCTACGCTTCCATTTTCTAGAATAAGGACAGTTAAGTACTTTTATGTTGCGAAGGCTACACTGATTAATAGGCAAATACTAATTCTGAGAGGTTTCTATTTTTCACTTTAAAAAAAAGGTCAACGTAATGGGTGGTTATCTGTTCTTAATTCTTCTAGGAATTAAGTCCTGTATGTTGTCAACCACCTATTTATTATATGGCACACCCTCAGACGATATCAAAGTCATCAATCTCTGCATACATTGGCTTCTTAAACAGTAAGTTTTCATAGAAATGTTTCTTCACTGATACCATGAAGTCATGTAAAATAAAACATATATGCCTTACCAACTAAATTGAAAGCTTATTTTTGAAATGAATACTTCCTCTTCTGTAGATTTACAATTTTTCTCAAATGAACAGAAATGGTTATGAAACCACAAGTTGCCTACTGTTCAGAAACGAATAAATTGATTTTTATTTGTGAGTAGATCCGTATTTCATTAAGCAAGCTCTGACAGCTACATTCGGAATCAGTCCAAGCCCTCTCATTTCACCTAAAGACATCCTGGAGTGCGTAGTGGGGAAAATAAAATGTCCTCTGAAGTCTTTTTCAGGGAAATGGAAAATTACATGTTCTGGACTGACACAACCAAAGCTCACAGAAACCCTCACATTACTTCGGTCTTGAATTTACTTCCTAGTTGATTTTATATACTTCAATATACGAACTTATCACTTCATTCTCGAAAAAGATGTCAATCTATTTTCCAAATTTTCATAAGCTAGTAAACCATTTCTAGTATTTGTGAACTTAGTAGAAATGAAAAGGGCTTTGTGCAACCAAGGACAGAAAGGTCTCCTAGGCACCATTTTACAGAACGTTGTAAGGAAGTACTTACACTCTTCCAAGTAGGGTGGGTATCAAAATAAATGTATTGCCAAAAGTTAAACAGATAAAATCAGAAAAATAATCTAACTTTGATAGGACTCAGTTCTATTTGCATGTACACCTGTATACACCTGATCAAGCAGACTGTCAATTGCTAAGAACACACAAAATGCACACTTTACCTAAGATAGAGTATAACAGAAAAAAGGGTGTTTTATTCTGCCTATCTGGTTACCAATTACTTTTCCCCCATCTTAAAAAATAGGGTCCTATTTAAAGTGATTCTGGAAGCCTAACGTAACTATTAAATGTACAAGCAGCAATTAATTTGGAATACCTATTGGAATGACTGGAACATTTAGTTGGGCCCTTTAACTCTTCCACACAGCACATTCACATGGACAGACTAAGGAAAAGGAGATGAAATGTAAATCAGCACATTTGTTTGCTTTACTTTTCAAGAAGAAAAAAAAAAAAGTTATATTGGAATATTTTATTCTTTTATTTGACCATGACTCTCTCAATCTTCCTTACGAACAACTGAGATACAGGATACAAGCTGCCTCAAAAGATTTGTTCGTTCCCATTTAAATAAGCCCCAATAACTCTTCAGATATAATTTTATCTTCTCTGTGCTTTAACTTTTATAGCATTAATGTCACACTTATAAACAAACTGGCATCTATGCGAGCCATGTCTATTCTTGGTGTTAAAAAAAAATTATTGGCTGACACCAATTTGTGGAAATGTTTTTAAGTGTTTGCAACATATATTTAAGACAAAATTCAATTACTTCCTCTAAGTTTCAAAATGGAACTGTTATAATCAAGAACATGCCACAATAGTGCAGCACTTCTGTCAGATGTGAACTCTCCACCCTACAATCTCTGCTTTATCTTTCAATAACGTAGACTGTCATTGGCACAGGATGGCGACCATAATGATGCAGAGACCCTGAATCTTTATAGAAGACATTTCTCTGGAGACTAGCCTACACTGCCTTTTCTTTTTCACACTTTCAACTACAGTATATAGCTTCTTATGCCCAGAATTCAGCTTTAAAAGCAAAACCCCTGCTCTTGTCAATACCAAGTATATGCTGAATCCTGGCATGAAAAAGAAAGTATTCCTAATCAACAATTATATAACTATAAATTGACAACATGGTTATGTTGCCTGTCTTAGTAACTTGCCTAACCTAGTAGTGATTACCGACGTCCTGGCCCATCTTCAACATGTTTCCCTACCAACACTAGACTTACAATCAACACCTGATTCTACCATACAGGCTTTAGATACCTGGGGTAACTAACAGAAATTATTTCCATCATTTACATTTTTAGTCAATGATTTAGGATGTGAAAGTACAGTCCTACTCAATAACGTAAATACATCATTTCCCACCTCACCTCTTCTCTGAGGCTATTTCTACATGACTTGAGATTGACATAAGTGTGATGCCAAATAAACCAGCAAACATATTATGCGAAACATAATGAAAACAGAGTATTAAGATAAATTGTTTCTGTTGTTCAATTTCAAAAACGTAACTGAGACTCTCAGGGACCCCTGGGTTTTTAATCTACTCCAACACGCTCAAGGGATATATACTACATCAGTAGTATATAGCTCACTTCCAAATTCTCAAGGGCTTATTCTAATTAACAAGTTTAGTAACAAAGGTCACTCTAACATGAGTTACCTGGACAAAATACTTTTGATGCTTGTTTTACAAATATGTACCTGTAGTACTAGTGACTAGGTAACGGCAAAGAAAACAAGAAGATTCAAGAGCAGCCTATGTAACTGCCAACTCAAGCACTAATACTAGCTGGATCTATCACCTTCATGCTTTGAAATTTTGAGTAGCTGTGGCCCAAAAAAAAAAAAAAAAAAAAAAAGCTGTAAGTAGTAAAGGCACTGCAGCATTAACTAAATTATTTCAGGGCAAATTTAGGCAGTTAACAATTTCGAAGAGCCTTGTGATTTACATAATTAGTAATTCAAATTACAGTTTCAGAGATCTCAGGTAGTTAACCAATCCTTGCTCAAAGCACTCATGTTCAGTTCCTCACCATTTAGGCTGGGAATGAGTCCCAGTGCATAGGTATTGCAACCCACAGTCAGGCCTCAACATATGTTTGCTTTTATTAACTATCACTAAAATGTTAAAACTTTAACCCAATTATTCACAAACTCTGAACACTTCACTCTCAGAGCTCTAGGATCACAAATGAATGACAAAGTTTAGACTCCTATCACTTTAAGAATGTTAGGTGGGAAGAAATGGCTTCAGATGCAGTATTCATCTTTCTGGGGAAAATCTCAAGGGAGTATTCTGAAGTACACTGAGAAGTATATAATTCTCTGCTACAAATTCCATCCACTTTTTTTTTTTAAGAGACAAAGTGTTGCCCAAATGGTCTCAAACTCCTGAGCTCAAGTGATCCTTCTGCCTTGGCCTCCCAAAATGCTAGGATTACAGGGGTGAGCCACCACACCCAGCCAAGTTCCATCCACTTTTGAAAACAAGACATTTTATATTTACATATAGGAAGAGAATTATGGAAACACTTTGTAAAACATCCATTTATTGTATCCAATGCTAGATAGTACCACTTGGGCTAAGAGATATGTTTATCCCTCTCTGCTTATACTAGTTTTAAATCAAATATACAAGATCTACAATTATCTTTATCCAAGATGTCTACATGACTACCCAAGAAGCTATTAAAATATTATCATTTTTATTTGTGCAATGGAACCCTTTATTCACATGGTCCTACAATAAAAAGTTAATTTGTATTATGAATAAGTTTATCAAAAAACATGTCATTCAATTCCCACAAAGGAGACAAATTTTAAGCACAGAATATACTCTGCTGATGAATATAAAATCCCAAGGTGAAAATCCCTTAAAATACGGATTATAGTCATGTTTCCTAAAATATAAAGAAACTTCCTTTTAAGCTTTAAGACCTTGTTGCTAGTGCTAAGAACATCTCGGTTCAGCCTTTATTTTTAGACAGGAGCTATCCTGGGCAAATGAGTTTGTTTTTATATATTTAATAGTTTCCTTTTGCCATTTCAATGTCAAATTGATTTGACTCAATTTCATGACTTCATCTTGCTCAAGGCCGTAAGCTGGTCAGAGCCAGAGCCCTTCAAAAGCTCTGAGGGAAAACTTTCCACCTAATTTTATTTACACCATTTCTATAGCAGTCTTAAAAGTGTTAGTTGTTTAAATTCTATGCTGTTTCTGTACTACCGTAGCTGACCAATCCAAGACCCAGTTTTCACTCAGCATGTTACTCTATTTGAAAACATAACCTCTCAGTGAAAGCACCCCTCAAATCAACAGCAACCTCACAATTAAGGTTCCTCTGGGTAGTCAGGATTTGGCCAGAACTACATCTGTTGTGTTTCAGTTGTTCGGATTTTTGCTTGCCATTAGGGAGGCAGGGGGAAAGATGAGCAATAAATCAAGTTCTCATTCATTTCTTATTTCTTAACTTACCTAATTTTCTCCCTGTTGCTTGCTATTTGGTACATTCCCTTCTCTGAATTCCTTAAACACTTTGTAACCTTTTTCCCATACAAGTATAAACAATTCTATTAATTCTAGTCTTGACAGACTACTTAAGGTTCTAACATTTTTCTAGGCACCATTTTTATCTATTCTCTCGGGCTACACAGACAAGACAGTCTACCTAGTGTTACTTGACCACTACTTTCCCACTGCAATTAGAAAATGAATTCCTTAAAACGCAGTTTTAAACTAGAAGGTGTATCTAAGACTCTTTTAAAGATGGGGTTTCACCATGATGGCCAGGCTGGTCTTGAACTCCTGACCTCAGATGATCCACCCACCTCAGCCTCCCAAAGTGCTAGGATTACAGGCGTGAGCCACCGCACCCAGCATCTAAGACTTTTTAAAGGCACAAATGAAAATTTTAGGACACCTGAACATTGACTGGCATTCAAAGCCTGAAACTGTTCCTCTAGGTAAGCCTATACAATCCTAATAATGAAGAGTAGCTCGGGCCAGTGGTTCCTAGCATTACTTGCAAAAAAAGCTAAAAACCCATGACACTACCTTCGACAGTTAAATATGTTAACTTAAGGATTAGCCTTTGTCCCAAAAATTTCTCAACTGAACCTCTACCATCACCTAAAACTCCAGCTTATAGCAAGAAAATTCCTTAGAGTATGAATTCATATTAAAAATCTGATTTTAAAGGGCTAAAACAAAATTCTAACCAATCAGAAACATAGCGAACCTAAACTTACCAAAAGCAACCTCAAAACACCAAGGAAACACTAGACTGAAGTCAAATTTTAGTTCTACAGTTTGACTCCTGATTCCTCACTTCACATTGGTGAGGGGAAGATTAAAGTGTTCTGTGCAAACCCAATATAATTACAATTAGGGGATCTAATGTTATTACATAGCTACAATCAAGTTAGCAGTGTTGTGTAGCAGTGACATCAATGACTGGCTTGCATGATGGCTTCTAAAAGCATCTGTTCCCAGCGTTTCATGTATCATATATAGGTATATAAAATAATCAGTTGAGGACAGCATTAACGTTCTGTAATGACGATAAACTCAAGTGTTAACTTCTCCCAGCCAGTACCTTTTCCCCTCATTAAATATGTTAAAAGTTGTCTGGGGGGGAGGGGAAGGGAAGAATTCAACTTTACTGCATAATTATCAATTGTCAGTATACATTTAAGTTTTTAAAACCTAAATGTTCTATGCAGAGTAAAGAATAAGCTGTCCAGAAAGCACACACTTAAAATTTCTCCTCTTGGGAGTTTATAAAGGGATTTTGAACCTTGATGGCGAGAATCCCAAAACAAGAGTAAAATGAATTCTTTTTATTGCAAACAAACGTCTAAATTAATTTCTCCACCCACTTTCTTTAGAAAGAAAAAGAAATCAGCAGGCTAAGGAGATACCCATTCAAGAACTGACATGATTAAAAATTAAGATATAAATGGGTGACTCACAATTTCATTAGCTTACAAAGATGGTGGAGTTAACTACTACAAGCACACTAGTTATACAGTATTTTGTGGGAGAAGGGCATACAGACATGGCTAACTTCATATAGATCCCATTAGACAACTGGATTTACAACAAGTTTTTTTAATAAGAAATGGGCAAAGCCAGCTTTCTTTTCAGAATCAAAATGCAGAACAAATGGAAAAATTATGGTATTTAACCTTCACAAGTTTGAGCCTCCACAAATAATGCAACCGAGTTTTACATTTTTAACAGCCCTTCTACATACACTCCATCTTCTCTCTCTTAATTCCAAGTTT